TAAGGCTGAATAATGTTCCATCGTGTATATATACCACTTTTTGTTTATCCCTTTCTATGTCAATAGACACTTGAGTTGCTTCCACCTCTTGGCTGTTGCGAATAGTGCTGCTATGAACATGGGCGTGCAAATATCCCTTCAAGATCCTGTCAGTTTCTTTGCACCTATACTCATAACGGAACTGCTGGATCGCCCTCTTTTTCGAATAGCATTTACTCAAGTTGTGGAAATGGTAGAAGAGGGGTATTCGAGTATAAGCTGAGACAGCCTTCACAGTTGAAAATTCACTTGGGCGCCTCCACTTTCCCATCACAGGCCTTCCTGTTTTTAAGTTAATATCAACGAGCTGATCTTTGATTTCGTTTTCTCATTCAGAGATGGTCAACTTTCCAGCAATATCTTAGCCTTGTGGAGGCTGTCCCACCTCCTTGCAGGTGACCACACTGAGACATGGGCTGGATACAAGGGGACTGGCGGCTTGTTGGGTTTCGCACAGTCTAATCGATTCAGAAGCGACAAACTTGTTTCTGATCTGGCTTTGGGTAGCTTGGCTAGCTTACGGAGATTACCAGCAAGTTCATCAAACCATTAAAAAAAAAAATTTCTTCCAAAGAGAGGTCCTTGTGTAGCCCATATAAGCTAAGCTTTGAGTTAACTCTCCTGCTGCCTAATTTGCTTTCAGAAAGGATCCTTCAGGACTCTGACTTCCCTTGTGTTCTCTCCCAGGCACCTAACAGAGATGGGCCTGACCTGGTTAGAAGGCTGCCGTGCATTACATCAGGGGTCCAAGTACGGGTTCCTTGTCTTGAGTGTCCATTTGAAATGTCACGGCTAAAGGCACCCGTTGTTGGCGCTTTCTCCGCATCGCAGCTGTAGAGAGTTGAAATTTGCTCTTGAATAGATGACTGCCTTATTTTAATAAAAGAATATTAAGGTATCATTTAGGCCCTTTCTCAGGAGGTTGAAATCAAAGTGCTCCCAAGTGTTAGGGTCTGTACACGTTCCTGTAGAAGAAGCAAACATTTTAAGCAGTAACCATTTAAATCAAAGTTTTAAAATATAATTATTTTGTTTGCACTGCATCTTCCTTGTGAAAAGAAGCTCAAGATGAAAGGGTAGCGGGGGCTCTCAGCCCTGAGTTGTGGGTAACGATGACCTCTGGATCATCCATGATCCTCTGGATCCACGGTTTCAGCAACATGCCTCTGACTTCCCATCAGTCTGGATTTCACCAGACTCGGGGGAGTTGCTATTCCAGAGTTTAGACTCTTGAGAAGCCACAGAACTAAGACAGCTTCACAAAGACGTTGATGAAATGGATTTTAGGCACCTAGGGAATTACAGATGTTAAAAACAAAAACAAAAACAACATACCTCCAGCTCAAAAAAGACATTTGAGACAGCCTGGAAGGTCATCCTGGTTAGCTGTACCCTCTGATTTTGGTGTCCGGCTATTTTTAGTGTCTTTGTGCTCTTGGCTGGGCGTCCTGACGCTGTGAATGGGAACTACCTATTTCTAGGAGCAGTTGTCTCGGTGGATCAAAGCTTTGAATTATAGTAGCGCTCGAGGAAGGCCAGAGATTGTATCTTTCACCTATGTCCCCATTTTTTTTTAAGTACTCAGGTGATAGGCCCTTTTAGAAAGTTTTATTCCCCTTGGGGACCTCTGACAAACCCTAAAACTTGTATGCAATGCTTTAGTGCTTGCCTACTTGGCACAGACGTCCTGAACATGCCAAGATTTCTTCGTCAAACCCTCTCTGAGTCTGGATTAGAACACCAGAGACCACCAGATCCCTCCCTATGCTTAGCCCCAAGAGACCCATGAGGCTGTGGAATCGTGGCTGAGGCTAACAAAGCTACAGGACTTTGGCAGAAGCACAGAGAAACCCTCCGTGATGTTGTTCACATGCTCTTAAATTACCCAAATTGTAAGGAAGAAATATGCATTGAAAGCTGCAAATGTAAACGATTTCATTACAGTATTTCAATACAGCAATTTAAAGAGGTTGTGGGGTTTTTTTTTTTCCCCAACGAATAATAACCCATGTTTGTCACCAAAAGCAAAGTGAAGAACTTAGTCACAGGGGTGTGGTCAAGGTATTATCTTCCCCTTTGACTCCTTGCCAACAACAACAAAAAATGTCCTTTCTTCATTAGACACCCCAGGCAAGTTGCCTCTGAGACAGTTCCTCTCATGTACGGCTGTGTCGAGTTGGAGAGGGTACTTTCCAAAGAAAAGATCAAAATCGTCTAGCTTTCACTGTGCTTCTTCAGTCCAGAAATACAGGTCAGTTACCAGGAGGTTACAAATTACCTGTTTGCGTAGACATCTTTGGAAGCGTGGAAGCTGCTCAGAAGGTTTTGCACAACCCTGAATACTCGCACTTGGAGAGATATTTCTCTTATTTGTGAAGCAGGGTAAGATAACATGGCTTAGATAATAACAGCTAACACTTAATACGGGCCTATTGTAAGCACGCCACACATTTTAACTCATTTAATCCGCACAAGCCTAAGTGGTTTTTATTACCATCCCCATTTAGCAGATGAGCAAACTGAGGCACAGGGAGGTTAAAGGATTCATCAAGATTCAAACACAGGACAGGCTTGATTCAAATCCATTCTCTTAGCCACTGGGCTGTACCGCCTGTCAGTTTCTTGAGTCCAGGCTCCATCACTTGCTAACCGCTAGATCATTTGACTTCTCTGAGCCTCAGTTTCCTCTTCTCTGAAGTGAGACCATAGATGATAATAAAGGCTCAACTGTTTCAACTTTAGCCATGAACTGCCCAGGCATTTAGTGCTCTGCCTGCCTGGTAGACATAGCATGAATATGCTAGTTTCAAAGGAAATAAATATATTTGGAAATGAGCCAACCATGGAACTCAGATCCTTGTGAATTTCAACTATCATTCATGCTTAGGCTCTGCTGGACTGAGTCACAGATTTTAATCAAAGAAGGTATATGAAGATCTGTGTTTGTGCATGGTGTGGCTGTTGGTCCTTAGGCTAAGAACATAATCTCTAAAAGAGCTCAATTTCACCATATTGGGCTAAATATTACCTTTTGCTATAGGCATAGGGCAGCACGCCTTGTTCAGCATGTGTGTGTCTGTGTGTGCGTTTTGCTGAAAGAGATACACTGCAGTATGTGTGTTAGACTTCAATACAAGTTCTTCTTTAAAAGAAAAAAGCAACACAAGAGCTGAGTTTTGAGCTAGACTACTTTCTTTGGATTCATGACTCTGCCTCAAATTGTTTCTCTTACAGCACTTTCTGATGACATCTCCTTTCATTTAACATGAAACCGTATTTCCCCAGGGCTCTATTTTACTCTCCCTGTTCACCAAGAATTGTAAAGCTGATGATGTATCATTTTTCAGAGCTGAACTTTTGATCAATGTCATAACTTTTGTATCTCTAAAAGTCTGTTAGGAAAATTCAATCCATTGTGACAAAGGCAATTTTTTCTAGTTGTGTGGCTCTTTGAAAACGCTAACTGCCGACAGTGAGAATTTCCTCTCAGTAGCAATTGCTGAGTTATGAACCTAAAAGAAAATAAGAAGAGTTTAGGTAGGGCTACAGGGGAACATTACCGATATGCTGATGCTAGCTGAGAAATGGCATTCTTGCCCTGGTCCAACTTTCTCAAGTCATTTCCCTTGTCAGCAATGACTGTCTCTCATCCATTAGTTCGTTAAGGCTGGTGAGTGGTTTTCCATGGGAAAACCCATAATTTCCCCAAGCACACTCTGCTTAGCAACTCTCTAAGCTCATAAAAAGTAGAATCTTTTCAACACCAAGCCAAGCTCGGGCTCTGGGGTAGACAGGTTCAACAGCATTATCCTACCCACACCCTTCTCCTTTGAGAAGTTCAGAGCTGAATGACTTTGCTGAAAAGGCACCTGGATGCCAGAGGTGTTTCTACACAAGCAAGCCGTTGCTTTTTGAAATTTGGGAGCTGAACGTGACAAGTCATACGGACCTAGTGGTAAATAACCAGCTTGAAGCCTGTCCCACCACAGGCTACCTAGTGAACCTACCCACGTGCCTTTTTCTCCTCTGCAAAACGGGGCTGTTCATACTGTTGCTACTCTTAAGTGTTCAGCTGGATGATGCAATTAGATAATTCTTGTCAGATGCTGTGCACAGTGCTTGTACATTGTAAGGACTCGGTGTTCAGTGCATTGGTAACTATTTTTATTAATGTTGCATGTGTGTGTGTGTGTGTGTGTGTGTGTGTGTGTGTGTAATCCTGGACGTACTGTTGTCCTTTGCTAAAAACCGTAGACTCTAAAGTCTTCCAGAGTGGTCTAGTCTGATGGGGGGGTTGTGTAAGTTGAGGGAACATGTTGTCCTTGTAATTAGCCAGTCTGATACCGCACTGAATAGTTCTGCCTCCTTTTCAGCCTCTGTTCCTTGCTTCCATTGCCACTCGTGGATGCGACATGGCTGGCTCTGAAAACAAATGAATCGTGAATAGTAAGGTCCCTTTAGGACATCGAATTAACATCAAGATGGGGGGAAGGGTCTGGGAGTTTAGACTCATCTAGGGGGCTACGATGGTGGAGGCGTAAAGGCAGCAGCAATAGCAGTGGTCACACTCTGTCCTGCTGATGAGGGATTATCCAAACCCAAGTGAAAGTCCATTCTCTGTGAACCCGATGTTGTCCGGTGAGGTGTGAATTATTCATCCTATCTCACAATCCTGCAGCACTACCAGGGGATAGAATTCCCCGGGGGAACAACGAACCCAGAGGTGCGGACTAGGAAGAGGTGAATGAATCACTTCTTAGTTGCAGAATTTAAGGGGGAGCCAAAAAAGACGGTTATTGAGATAAGTATTTTAATATGGTTTAAAAAATCAAAATGAATGCAAAAAAAAAAATCCGTGAGACATAAAATATGAAAATACTAATTAAAGGCTGCATCCAGTCCTGCACTTGTAAGATCTTGCCTCACCCTAATCCTAGCTGGAGTGAACCCCCACGTTATAGAAGAGACACGTTATGTATAAGAATTTCCCTGCATGAAGTCGGAGTAGTTGCAGGGCAAAATGTGGGACCCGAGTGGATCTGCATGTTAATTATCTAAGCATCGACTGGAAATGAATCAAGAAGATTCTTCTGTATTGTATGTTTAAAGGATGCGTGTTGTGTTTCTGAGAGCAAGATAACAACAGTGGCTAGATTTTATTGAGCGCTTACTATGTGACGGTCACTCTGCTAAATACTTTCCCTAATTGTCTCTTTTAATGCTCGCAGTAATCCTATGAAGTAGGTACTGGTATTAACCCCAAGAGGAGACTAAGGGTCAGAGAGTTAAGTAGCTTGCTCGAGGTTATCCAGTTAATAAGTAGCCAACCCCAGCTGAAGCTGTAATGTAGCCACACAGGGTTTGAAAAAAATCACTCAGTATTTGTCTGAATCCTTTTAATCCAATATTTAAGTCCAGGTCCATACAGTTTCAAATGTGTATAATGCACCGAGGGTGGTTTTTCTAGGTTTGGGTGGGGACCTGACACGAAACAGCTCTACAGTGGAATGGCTTTGCTAAGAGCTGGCCATGTCCTGGAAGACTTACGCTTGAGATTCTGGAGATCCTCCAGCAGGAATCATTTCTTCTCCCAGAGCATGGCTTTCTCTCATCCTGTGCCCTGCTTTCTTCCTTTCTTTGCCGCATTTCTTAGGTTGAGAAAGAGAGAATAGATGGTGACGGTGATGATGGCGAAGATGTTAGGGCTCATGGTGACAATTGTGATGATGGTGGTGGTGATGATGATGGTGGTAGCTAACATTTATTGAGGTCTGATTATGTGCCAAGGACTATGACGTGCGCTTTTGTAGCACTACTTCATTTAGTCCTCAAAAAGCCCGTGAAAGCCTGATTAATTCCCATTCGCGGATCAGGAAACTGAGTCTCTGAGAATGTAAAGTAACTTGCCCAAGATCACAAGCCCGGGTGACAGTCAGGTGAGGCCTGTGCTCTTAACGACTATGTTGTGGAAAGAAAGAAAGGAGAATTAAATGGCAGAATTTTACATCGTCTTTCCACGTTCTCTTAATCACAGCTTCCAGATCTGGTTGTAGCTACTCAAGAAGTTTTCAGCTTTCCAAGGACCCGAATTACCCTGCGGGCCCTAGCTGTGATGGGCATCCTTTTGGCTTCCAGCTCTAAACCTTTGCAGAATTCTCCCCAGAGAACATACTTTAGAGGTGCCCAGGGTCCTGGGGATTTTATGTCTCAAGGGATTTTATAGAATTAAAGTAACCTTATATGAGAAGTTTCCAATTACTATACCTGAATTCAGGCAGGACAGCCAAGGAGTTCTGATTGTACTGAAATACTTACTATATTTCATCAGTTTCTAGTTCGAAGCGTTTAGTGTGCATTTCACCAAAATTTAAGTGCCCAGGTGTCAGGATATCTCTGGAAAAGGCGTATCTGAGCCAAAGACAAAACAAAATGGGGAGAAGTTAAAATGTTTTATGAATTTCCCCTTTTGAAGAATCATAACAAATCTGCTGTATTCGCATCGATCTCAAATAAAGCAAACCTGATTAATAAGCACTGTGAACTGCACGAGGAGAGGCAGGAACAACCCAGACAGCCAGTAATGTGCCGGTAAAATGTTTTCACGACTGGCGTTCTGGGAGGGAGAATGCCCTGGTCTGTGGCATTTGCCAGTCTCCGTGGGGTAAAACCTCCCCGTAAGGCTTATTTCTGGCTATCAGTGTGATATCCCTGAGTGTAGAGGTGGGCAGAGACCCCCAAGATCAACTCTCAGGCCCAGCACACGATTACGCCCTCCTAGGGGGGAGTAATCAGGTGCTCAGCTGTTTCACTCCAGTCCCTAATCCTGGAAAGCTGCCACTTCCGGATTCACTAGCTGTGTGCCCTTGGGCAAGTCTCTTCAGCTCTCTGGGCCTTTGTTTCCTCCTCTACAGAGGATGCTGTGGAAGGCCCCTTTCACCTCTCACATTTTAAAGTTCTCGAAGGCAGCGACTCCTGCTTTCTCCAACATCCAAGTGCCTTTAAGCGCCTTTCTGGGAAACCAAGTTAGCACTGTGCATCAGCCAAAAGTGCCTCCAATTCCATCTACTGAGCATAAGGTTTGGAAAGGAGTGACTTACTCCCTTTGCCTCTTTCCATGTGTAGCCAATGGGGCATCATACATTTTTGACACTTTTTTGCTAGATGTGAGATCCAGGAGGAAAAGCATGGATGTTCCAGGGCTTTCTTGTTCTCCTGGGGTGGGAATCTGTGAGTGTGATGAACTGATCCATCGCTGTGCGCATTTCCTACCTCCCTACCCTTTCGGCAGCGGAGGACGAATACTGACAGTGTTCTCCCCTTTCCTTGGTGTTTTGTACTATCCAGAAGCCATTTATAAGAATGGGAACTACTTATATCAGATGGGGAGTTCGTTAGTCTTACCCCCCCACCCCCACCCAGAAAGGTGGCATGTCTCTCAGCGAAGAGAAAAAGGCACGTTGCACAAGGCTTGCTGGCAGGGATAGAAGCCAGCGTCGGTTTGCCTGTTGTCACAGCCAAAGCAAAATGTCACCTCTGCCTAGAAGCCAGAGTGCCACATTCCTCTTTTGTGTCCCTGAGATGCACCCATCATGAGGCCCTCAGTCTTGTAGGTTTGGCCAGGAGGTCACCCGGGTTCCTTGAAGGTCAGTTTCCAACCCCAGGAGGCGGGGGGATGTGCATTGCTCATGACTCTCAAAACAGATTGTTTGAGCCCCCGATTGCATGTGGATAAAGCCAGGAAACATGGAGTTTGAGGCCTGGGGTGAACACAAGAGAGCCCCCCACTATTGCTGAGAGTAAGTAAGGACTGTGGAAACACCCGTGATCCCGTCCTGTTCCTGGCCCTGGCCCTTTTCTTAACAAACCCAGATGCAGTGATGACAAGAGCTCCAGAATCCCAAGGCAGGAGGTGCCGAAAACACCCCCGAATAATCACAACCGCCCCCCCCAAAAAAAAGTTTCAGGGGAATGTTCTCACTCCTTGAGGGGAAAACCTGTCGGCGCCTGGGGCAGTCTGACCAGGACAAGCCCCCTCCCGGCATGGAGTGAAGTGCAGATAATCAAGAAAAAAGTCCTCCCCCAACCCCAGCTCCCTTGGGGAGGGGACAGAAGGTTCCTGAAACTGACAGTTTCGCCTCGATGATCTTTAAAAGAGCAGAAGTTGGCTGTGAGGCTGCAGTGCCGCCTTGATTGGGGTGGTGTGGTCTCTTGGCGGCTGGGCTCCAAGGAGAGCCACAGTTGTCTCTGATGAGGGAAGAGCCTAGAAATGAAAAGATTGCAAAGAGGGCTTCTGAACGCCATGGCTGAGACTCTGTCGTTCCTTGCAAGGTGAAACTTGGCAGTCCTGCCTTGCAAGTAAAAACCCAAATTAATTTTTTTTTTGAAGAAATTAAGTCAGAAACGAGGCTTCGGAAAAACTGTGAGTGTTAGGCATAAACTGATTTTGGATGATCTTTAGGTGAGAAAGGGTGGAGTTACCATCAGAAACATGTTTTTATTTATGCTTTTAAAATCTCCACTGGTGTGCGTGCGCGTGTCGGTTAGCAGGAGAGTGTGCCCCGTTTCCATCCCCTAACAACGTCTTCTTTTTAACATCTTCTCTGTGCGCGGTTCACATCCACGCCCTCTAAGTAAATATCTAGGTCCCCCCACACCTTTTCATTTTATTTGTAAATTGTTTGGTATGAGCGGCAATGCGTAATGAAACCTGGTGAAGTTGAAAAGATTAGATTTTTTTTTCCGTCCTGACACTTCATAACACTGTTCATATGTCTCCGAGTGAAATTTATGAATATATGAGCAGTGCTGCAAAATTATACCGCACCAGAGACTTCCTGCACCACAGGGGTGCAGTCTAAAATGACACAGCTTCAAGCATTTTTCACAGACAAGAAGCAAAATTTAACCCCCTTAAGGGGAAGTATGATTTCAACAGCTTGAAATGAGCTCATTTGTAGATGGTTTTTTTCCCTCCCATCTTCCATAATTTTTTGGTGTTAAGATTAAAACAGATTGCACAGTCAACGTAAGGCCACATACGCTGCCCAGAGTATGATTTGGCCCTTAAAGAGAAACCCCGTTTCATTGTCTTTATCCAAATGCCGCAATAGGGTCAGTGAAGGCGGACTTTGCCCTCAATTCCCAAGGCTCTCAGCCTGATTCTCAGGACTGTCCTAAACAGACAGGGTCTGGATTTTTCAAAAGGTAAGTAGCAAGTGGCATCAGTTGAGTCAGTGGAGAAGCACCCATCGTCCTGGGCACCCGCGACAATGGCTTTAGGAAATCAGTGGTAACTTAAATCTCAACTGAGTAAAACTAACCAACAAAAAGGAGAATCAGAAGAGCGAGAGATGGTCGTTAGGGACTGGTTGTATCTGAGATGTGTATAAAGAGTTCTGCTTTAGATTCAAAGACCAAGCCGGTCTCTTTTCGGCTGATCTGGTACCTTGGGATTTTGTATCAATTGCTGGGCACAGTCTCCCTGCTCTCAAATTCTTCTTAACCGTTTTGTTTTCCTCTTGAAACAGAGCAGGGTGCTCACACGTGGCCTGTTCCCTCTCTGCTCTTTAAACGCTCCATGACGTGTTGGCTGGAGAACTTTTGTCTCTTTTTTTCAGCAATGGTACAACAGCTCCATGAACGTGATCTGTACCTGGTTGACGGACCGGATGGACTTACAGCTTCACATTTATCAGTTGAAAACACTAATTAGGATGGTAAAGGTAAAAGAAAACATAATGATTCTTCTTTGCAAATAGCTCCCTGAAATCCATTTCCTTGGCAAGATGCAGGACTTCCTTGACACAAAGGATATTAGTTTACGTATAAAACAAGATGATTCCTAAAACAGTTATCTCAGGCGAGAAAAACCTGATGAAATCACTTTGGGATGCATGGTTAATTTATTACTCAGACATCAAAGGGAAATTTAATTTAAAAAAAAAAGAAGTTGGTATTTTATCCAGACTAGAAAAATACTTTATGTATTTGCCATGTAAAAATAGACTTTCAAAAGTACCCTTGGCATTAGACTTCCAAAAGCTGGCTTTTGGGTACCACTATGCTAATCACATCAATTACCCATTTTGTGTATGGTTTAATTAAATAAAATTTTGCCACAATTAATTTAATAGAAATATTTACCTCCGGCTATTTCTAAATATGTCCTGTGATCATTATCAGGATGCAAATCAATATTGTTCTGGTAGTTAATTGAACTAGTTTCTCTTACAATGCGTGTATACAATCAAATGTAAAGGATCACAAAGGTGAGGTAACATACCCTGAACGCAGCTCTTTTCCCCTGTTCTTGTGTGTGTGCCTTGGACTAATGATAATTATTTCAGCGTGAAATCTCAGTGGTTTACATGAAATAATAAGATCCCAGAAGGGGGTAAATACGTTTTTGATCATTTCAGTTTCCATTTGATGCTTCACCATCGAGGGTTTGAAAACATGCGTGTGCAAAAATCTCATTCAAAGCACAAAGTCTTTTTAAAAATATTTTAACAGTGAAACGTAGCTGCATTTCCATTTCTGAACAGTTTGCCAGAAGTCCCCGCAACCCCCGGCCCCTGCTATTCCCCCACCCACCCCAATCCCGCCCCATTTCTTAGTCGCTTTCGGATTAGCACCATTTCATTGAAGGTGCCCCTCTACCCCAGTGCTGACTTAAAACCAATTACTGTTCCGTTGAGTGTAATTAAGGAGAATTATTATCATATGCATTTGATCTCACAAAGCGTCCGCCCAGGGAAGGTTAAGAGACAGCGGTGCACTGCAGCTCATAAAAAAAAGGAATGTATGTACTCGGACTATGCACCTAGCCTAATTTTCATGTTTTTTTAGTGTCAGTTCCTTAAGGCAAGCTCGCTAAACATTGCCTGACCACTTGAATTCCATTTTCTGGGCATAAATACTCTTTAGGGGAATTTTTTTTTTTCCATTTGACTCTTTCTGGGTAGACATGAAACGAAGACAATTCATTTTAATATTTTAAAATTCCTTCCCATTCCTTCCTGATATTCCCAGATTTTTGTCAAGACTGTTGGAATTACCGACATTTTATTAAGGAAAAATTGTGAGTCAGAGGAGAAGTGTATTCCTAGCCTTCTGTCAAAAACGACACAGACATGAGCCACAGGGAAGGGACACAGAAACGTCACTGCCAAAGGAACCCCTTCACTTTTGCCAGAAGTGGGCCTCGCTTAACTCGGGCCACCACACAGAGGGGTGGAGCAGAATTCACCCCCTCTTCACTCAGCACATGACCCAGAGGACTTCTTCTCGGGGGCAAACTCCCAGTGATAATTGGCTTTCTTTCCTGCCTTTACATCCACTCTGGTTATTCATCTGTTCATTCATTATTCAGCAAGCATTTATTCAGCCATCCAACATTGGGCTCATGTTAGTTGGGGCCCTCCTTGTGTATTACAAGACGGAGGATTGGAAAAAGCGACTCTACGTGGTCCTCAGACATTTAGAGGCTCCTGGGGAAACACGCTGCTCTGGAATTTGACAAAGAGGAGGATAGTCAAGTGATTTCTCCCTTTATTTTTCCCAAAATATCCTGACAATTGAGCGTCAATGACTGAAAAGTACAGACAAATCCAGTAAATCCTCGGGCTGTCTGGACTATGCTATACCTAGCATTTACCTAGCCTTCTACCCTCCCCGCTCCAGGGAAAGACACAGTTAAGGTGGCTACCTGGGAGAGCCCTGCAGCTTGGGCCATAGTTAAGATGCCCTTTGAATTTAGTGGCGAGACCAGATTACTATTTTTTCTAATCTTTTTTGTTGTTGTTGTTGTTGAAGTATAGTCAGTTTACAGTATTGTGTCAATTTCCCTAAACCAGATTACTTTTAAAGAGGGAAAGATCATGCTACGAATGATCAGCCTGGGACCATAGATGTAAACTGGCAAGGGGAACAGGTGGTCATCTTATCCAAAATCTTATGATATTATTGGACTTCACTGAGCAGAACAGCATTCGCTAGTTAATTCTGCCGTCATTCCCGCGTATGACCTTCAGGAGAGTTGACATTGCAATTGACACCAGGACTACATCAGATGGGCTACGAATGCCGTTGAAGTATGGTAGTGTCCCTTCCCGTGCCCCCTTAGCGAGTTTCCTGTACCAAGAGGAGACACAAACAGCAGAATCGGTAGCCGAAATGATATGCAGTGTGAGGAGAGGAGTCATAGTTAGAGAGAGACCTTTTTGCAACAAATGTTTTGTGAAGTAGACAACAGCCAGATGCTTCTGGTCATGTTCAGTTAACGCGAAGGGATTTCTAGAGAAACAGTCCCTGGGATACCTAAGGAAATCCAAGAGAAATCGCCTGAAGGAACAAAGGAAGAACTTGCCGTATAGTCATACCAAACCCCTGTGCTTGACAAAGAGCCAAGTTCCCTCCCTGAGACCAGGAAGTTGTGAACAGAATAGAGGCGCTTCTTTGCCGCGGAGACGAGAAGTGAGTCACATGCCCGCAACATTTTAATGAGGCATTAGCGCTCCGTCTTCCCCATGATTGTTGCTGCCCGTCTGAGGTTTTGTATACCAACATGCACACGTCTGTCTTGTGAACGAGGCAGAGGGATATGCAGTCACGAGCCTCGCAAATGCTTAAGAGCAGGCTGCAAAAGAACTCGCAAAATCCCATAATCACTTGATTCATTATTTATGTGCTATAGCTGTCTATCCTGTTATATTACACTAACCTCAGAGAAAGAACCAGACCAGAATGAAAACAAAAGAAAAGAAAAGAAAAGAAAAAAGAAAAAAAAGAGGGAATCAAAACAATGATGGAACATTTCCCTGTACGGAACTGAATAAACACAAGCTTATGTTCTTTGCTTTGTCTCATCTAATACAGTTTATCCTGTCACAGTTTCTCATTTTCTGTCATTCACCACCTCTCAGTTTTCAGCACAAGTGAAATCTGAGAGCGTGGTGGCTTTTCACGTGACAGCGCGGGCCGCGTGACACTTAGCCGAGGTCGGTGTTCTCACACTTGCTCTGTGCCCTCTCCCTCCCCGCGTGGAGCCGAGATCTCCCTCATCATGGCATCTTTTCCCTCTTTAGAAAACCTATAGGGATTTCCGGTTGCAAGGGGTCCTGGACTCCACCTTGAACAGCAAGACCTACGAGACCATCCGGAACCGGCTCACTGTGGAGGAGGCCACGGCGTCCGTGAGCGAGGGTGGGGGCCTGCAGGGGATCAGCATGAAGGACAGCGACGAGGAGGACGAAGAGGACGACTAGAGCGCTCGGGCCCGGAGTCCCCTGGGGCAGAGTCCTGTAACCAATGCATGTCCTTAGTCTGTTAGTTAACCCCCTTAGGGAATTTTCTGTCAACGACCATGCCCATGAGATGTGTCCGGATAACAATTGCCGTTTTAGCTACGTGGTCCCCAGATCAGCAAACGACCTACAACTCCACGATTTCCTGACTCCATGTCTCTCTGTTTACAAGCAATAGGGAGCACCATTCTTTAAATACCATTTATGGAGACTACATAGCTCAGTTGCCAGGTGTATCCCTGTTATCAGCAAAGTTCAATGATGCTTCATTAATGTGCTGTGTGTGCGTTGATGGTAGGTGGATGTGAGGGCAAATAAACCTAGTACTTTCTTTGTGTCCCGTCCGTGGGTGCCAGTGATGTAAATGAGTACAATAAACTAATTTAACTAAGACACGTAGATCTGCTCGGTTTTTCGAAAACCAAAAGGCAAAGGCTCCAACCACCAACTTTTGGCTCTATCTGTTCCCGGAGCACGGCAAAATGAACCCCCACCTGGTGTCCTTGTTAACCCATCCTTTTATTTATCCAGATAGTTAGCCGAAAAAGGATGGCTACATCCCAATGGAATGATCGTCCAAATTGCCACGGCAAGGGCGAGCCTATACTTAATCACATCGAGTGCAGTTCAGAGCAATGGTCTTCTAGCAGAGTTTATCCTATTAAATGTTACGTTTTGCTCTTCTGTTTCGATAACCGTGGATGTAAAAACAAACAAACAAACAAAAAACCCTGAATATTTAAATGATGACCCTAGACTATAAATGTGTTTATAATAAGATATGGATATTTCCTTCAGTAGATTGTAACCAGACTTTATTTTGTTCCACACTGTTTTTTATATCTGTCATGTACATTGCATTTTGATCTGTAACTGCATGACCCCAGGGTCCTCTGCAGAGCTGTTTCTTTCTGTGTAAAGTAGTGGCTCCATCTTGCTTTTGCCTTATATAAAGCCTACAGTTATGAAAGTGTGGGAAACTGTGGCTTCTCGAATAAATAACTCTTCACATGTCCTAGGAATACGGCTGAGCCTTTTTTTTTCCCTCTGTCTCCTTTGAAAGCCAGAACTGAAGCCCACGAAGCAGGAAGACATGGAAAACAGGAGGGAAGGAGTAATTTTCGTAGAGTGTTCTCGAAACCGTTGGAGTGGGTGGTGTTCAAACACTTGTCTCCACGAGAGACAGCCGAAAATTCCATTAATTCAGCCTCGACTAATTCAGAAACTGTGGGCATTTGGACATGTTGGGCAGATTACACTTGCATTATAGGATAAATAAGGGTTTGCTCAGCAAGAGAGTAGTGTAAACGAGAGAAATGTTTCTCCTGTATGAAGAGAAGGCCAACAAACTGTTTTTAAGCACCACTTTAACAGCAGTGTTTGCATTCAAACAAAGCGTGTGCCAATTATATATGATTCTTATATATTTGTTAAAGCATTTTACAAGATTCTCTGAGATACGGAGTGCTCTTCGCGCTCCCCAGTCTTTGTCAGCCATATCATCACCTAAGTTTAAAAGAAATCAGGCATTTTGGTAGCTTTGCCTGTTTTATTTGTCTGCCACTAAATCAAGCTGACCTTTCCTTGGGGCTGACTGAGGTTTTAGAGAAATACTTACTTTTTCAGTAGGACCGGACAGAATGCTCACCAGTTGCTCAACTCCTCTACATAGCACGTCTCACTCTGTTCAATCCTTGAGGTCTGCAGGTACACATCACCAGTACTTTCTGCCCTTGGTACTGAGAATAAATCCCATTTATTGAGCAGCTATTTTGTGCCAGGCATTCTGCATGTATTACCGCAGTCAAATCTCACAACCACCGTAGAAGGAGAGGAGTGTTTCTATCCTCATTATAGACGCGGAAGTTGAGATCAGAACCGTTAAGGTAACTTGCCCAATGGTTACACAACTCCCTGCAGAAACTTCCACCCAGAGATACTAGAGAAATGTTAAGACCAGTCATGGGGATAAAATGATAAAACTCATCCATTGTCCAACAGCACGAAGTCAGTGTGGCAAAGCCAGAATTTTGCGAGATACACGTGCATTCGTGGTATTTTTAGTTACAAAACGAAAGCATATTTTTTACGACAATTACAAACAACTCAAAAATGCACGAGTAATGAGACAGCATCTGCCCAGTGTACACGAGCTGGAAATGCCCGGTGGACAGAAGTTGGGGAAAGGAAGAAAATGTTCAGGAA